TCAAGTGGGTTCGAGCACATGATCTGGATTCAAAATGAAAAACTGAAGGACTAATATGGATGGATTGCAACGTCAAGTACTAAATTGAGCCTTATGTGAAATTTAGAGGACTAATTTAGTTATTCACCAAAAAATAAATAATAAACTCAGATAGATAGAGTCATGCGTGCAACCAACAACTCCACCTCCACACCGGTAATCATTTTATTATCTAAACAAAATCTGGTATACGGCTCTCTCTGCATATAAACTGCCAAGTCAAGTTGCATCTTCTTTAATCATTTCAATCCCAACACATTGATTACTACTTAAGTAAGACTATCATGTTGACTCGACGAATGAAGAAACACACACATATATATTTAGCCTAGCTAAATTTGTATAACAAAAGTACAAAATTGCATACTAATTAATCCAGTTAACTAACATTAATTGACAACAAACAACAGTAATAATACTTAACATGCAAAAAAACATAAGTATATACATATATGCATAATGCATCCATATCATATCCATTTGCATATATATGTAGTAACACTAGTGCTGCGCATTGATCTCTAGCTGCTATGATCAGCTGCCTCCTCCGCCGCCCATTTCTGTTTCAACCTGTCGATGTACGCCTGGGAGGCCTTGTCAATATTCCTTCCTGCAGCTGCAGCCCTCTCCGGCGGTGCTCCGCCGCCACCGGCCGTCCTCGGCGTCCGCGCCGCGTTGATGATCACCTTCGTCTTCGTCTCCGGCTCATCATCGATCCGCTCCACCCTGCTGATCTTGATCTCCTTCGTCCTCTCGACACGCGACATATTGTTGTTTCTATATATGTGTTCAGGTTTTGCTTGGTCTGAAATTCTGAATGAATAGATGATAATCAAGACATGTATTTATAAACGAAGAGATGACTGAAGAAGTAACGCTAACTATGTGGAGTACCTTGGTACCCAAGGAACAGAAAAGAAGGCATACCAGAAGCTTCATGCATTTGTGTTGATATTGACTGGACCTATTCAGCTTAGGAGAAAATGCAGTGTTCTTTCTGACGAAAATCGCCGCAGGATGTATCGGAGATAATTAATTAACTAGTATAATGTGCATATCTATCGCATTGTCGGTTCAGAATAGCCTAGCCCAAGCTAGCAAAACTACCAAGTGCACAGGATCTGATGGTCAATTGTTAAGACGTAAAAAGTAATATGAATCAGTTGAAGATTTTGCAACGAAAACATGGACCAGCTAGTGCTGCACTACACGGTGTTTTTTTCAAACAGTAGGCTTAATACTGAAGGAGCAAGACTTACCTGGAACTTCCTTGGTTCGTACTCTCGATTCGCTTTAATTACGTCATTAGATTGCAGCTGGTTAATTTCTTCAGCGTGAATGCGTCATGATCAGGAGAACTCCAAATCGGAATCCGATTTGGTAGGGATGGGCGCGTATACAGTGTAACTGCTCATCAAGGTCAAATGCGCCCATCCCTAGCTAGTAAACATCTGCCTCTCTGCTCTCATCTATCGATAGTGCAACACGCAAGTTAATCAGGGCCTGTTTAGTTCGTGAAAAGAAAATTTTTAGATGTCACATCGGATGTTTGACTGGATGTCGGAAGGAGATTTCAGACATGAATGAAAAAACTAATTTCATAACTCACCTGGAAACCGGAGACGAATCTTTTGAGCCTAATTAATCAGTCATTAACACATGTGGGTTACTGTAGCACTTATGGCTAATCATGAACTAATTAGACTCAAAAGATTCTCTCGTGATTTCCCCCCTAATTGTGCAATTAGTTTTTTTAATCTATATTTAATGCTCCGTGCAAGTATCCAAAGATTTGATGTGATGTTTTGGGAAAAAAATTTGGGAACTAAACCAGGCCTTATGCCTTCTACGTACTCCCTTCCTTTCGTATTATAAGCTGCTTTAATTTTTCCTAATCAGTTTTTTATCAAGTTTGCACAAAAATATAGCAACATTTTCAACAAACATATTAATAAATTATATTTAACGTTACATTTTCCTCCGCAAGGTTCGTCCACGGAGGGTGAGTTAGGGCCTAAGATTAGGCTATTTAAAAAAATAATTTAGTGTTTTAGATGTTATTAATTTTTTTTATAAAGTTGGTCAAATCTAAATATTTTGTTGTCAACAATATCCGAGAGAGTTGTTTGATCTATATAGTTTAAATGCTATTTTTGCAGGTCAACTACATTTTATTCCGCGATCCTTGTAATCATTCCTTCTGGGGATAATTAAAAAGAGCTCATTCTGGTGCAACAGTTTAATTACTTAGGTCTGGTTAATTTGACACAGCTTCAGATATTAGATGCATGATAGATTTGAAGTTCATATGTTAAATTATAGTTATTGTTATATTTTATATTTTATCTAAAATGAGAATAAAATAATTAATTCAAATGTGTTAACGTAATCGCAGATCTAGATGCATAAATTTGGAGCTAGGGATACCTAGCTCTACAAATTCTTGGATACGGAGTTGTGCTAAAGAGAGCCTTAGTCGGAATAAATCAAGGCCAAATTATGTGTCATGGTCATATAAATTCATCAATTTTTACAATTTGGTCCTTTTTGAAAACTTATTTTACAAATAGACCCCTGGAAAAACTTAAACCGGAAATGATCTTTTTTGGGGCGCCAGAGTGGCTGGCGCCGTACCCCAACATGGCGGCGCCAGCCACACTGGCGCCGTGCCCGTGCCACCGTGGCACTAGGGCTGTCGTGGAGGTGCTGACTGGGCAGAATGGGGGCGCCATCCACACTGGCACTGCCCCTCATACCACGGCGCCAGCATGGCTGGCGCGCCCCTCCTCTGTGGGCCGACCCTTAAACCCCGTGGGCCCCACCACCTTTCTCCTCCCCACTCCCATTTTCGCCAAGTCCCAGCCCGAGCAGCAGCGCAGGAGTTCTTCCCCTCTCTCTCCCCCTCACCTCTCCACCTCAAATCCACTCAATTTGAAGCCGTTTTTCGCAGGATTTTTTGTGGAAATCGAAGAGAAAGGTAGACTCCTTCATTCCCCCCTCTTTTTTTTCGTTTTTATTGGTTGAATTTGTAGATCGGTGGGTAACCCTAGAACCCCTTTTTTACCCAAATTTATGATTTTTAGCATTTGTTCTTAGGATTGGCTTGTTGTAGTGCTACATGTTTGCAATGTACTCATTGGTGTCATGATTTTTTTAACCATATATGTGGTAATGTTAATTTTTGGATGGTTTGGTTGGATGGATGGATGAAAAATTATGGTTGAGGCATGACGGAGGTTTGGGTTGTATGACGGAGTATTTGTAATATTTCGATGTGTAATGCACTAGTAAACTTATTGATAGTTGTAGGTGGATTAAATATTTTTTTGGAGTAGTAGCTTTGGGACAATTTAAGTTATGCATTGGTTATAATATGTCGGTTTGGACTTCGTTTAGGAATGAAGATTTAATTTTTGTTGCAAAGTTACATTTGATTTTTTGGTGTAGATGGATAGACTTGTTCATGTTTACTACGGTGGTAGAGTGGTGGAACCTTATGTTGGTGCACATGTTGAGTTTGAGGATATGTCATTGAAGACCATTTTGTTTCCCACCCACCCAACTCTAGATGAACTAAGGTCACGAGTGAAAGAAGTTCTTGGATGGACCGAGGATAATGTGGAGATTCGTTTTTATGGGAGATACGATGTTGGTCAAGGGCATAAGTATATATTAAATGTGATAGGTCAGTTGGAATGGGAAGTTTACTTTGATTTGGTAAAAGAGTCTCAGTTTAGATCTCTAGAGGTGTTTGCATCAAAGTTAGTTCGTACCGTAGAAAATTTGGATCTAAACAAATCTCCTTCTTATCATTACGTTGAGAAGAATTTTGTGACATATTATTCTCGTCGTGGAGGGAGTGCAAGTAAGACTGAGTTGGTACGGGAAGACTTGGAGGGGGAAGGAGAGAAGAAGAGACCTTTGCTTGGAAATGATTTATGGGAGGCAGGACCATCAAAGAGACATTGCGGTAGTGATGATGTGGATGCAGCGAGGGAGATGAAAAGGGAGTTAGTACAAGAGGGGCTTGATCTAAGTGAACATTTGTCGGCGAGTGTTCATTGGTCGTCGTACGGAGTCAACCCTGAATACCCGACAGAAGTAGCAGGCCAATATGTGAATACAGATGATTACTTTGATGTCGAATTGAGTGGTGGTCACGATTCTGTCTCAGTAGAAGTCAATAGAGATGATGTTGACGAGGAGGCAAGTGTTGAGCAATATGATGTTGAATTTGCTGAAGACTCTGATGATGACCATCCATTCCCTCCACTTACTAATAATGACAAGTTAGCATTAGAGGAATGTTGTGCGTTTGAGAAGGTGTTTGGGAGGAAGCCGGACATTCCTGAGTTTAGGGACCTAACACATGCCCATGGTGCACTACTAGATGGCAGCATCAACCTAGATCAGTTGCCAGAACCATTCCAGGTGGATGGTCTCAGAAAGGGTTTAGAGTTCTCATCCATGGTCGCATTGAAGCTATGGCTCCAGGAGTACGCCATCGTGCACCATCGTCCATACCGTGTTGTCAATTCTGCCGCAAATAGGAGGTACACTGTTAAATGTGAAAACCCACGGTGCAAATGGAAGGTCCATGCAACTAAGAGGTCTAGTGGCACGTGGAGGATATCACGGGTAGGTAAGGAACATAGTTGTGCTACTGCCGAAGGTTCACGGAGCCACCGGCAGCTGACATCAAAGTTCATAGCAAATAGGTTATGCAATGCCATAAAACTGCAACCTACACTCTCTGCTTCTGCGTTAGCTTTGTATATATTTGAGGTTTTCCAGTATAGGGTGAAGTATGGCAAGGCTTGGAGGGCACGAGAGGAGGCTATGAAGCTCATTTACGGTGAATGGGGTGAAGCGTATGTCCGTTTGCCCACTTTGCTGCAAGCCATTAAGCAGAGGAATCCCAGTATGGTCTACCACATCGATACTCATCCTGATAGGGTTGTCAATGAGATGGACTGCTTACAGCCTCAACATGTAAGTACTTCCAATATCACTTCTAGTTAGACATTTACTTCTTTAATTGAGATACTAACCAACGACATCTCTTCAACTTTTGCAGATTGAGTGGTTACCATACCACACAAATGAGGCTTCAAGCCTGACCCTGAACTCGATGTGCAATCGAGACTCTGACTATTTCATGTACCAGTGCCCATTGATTTGTTTCTGGGTAGTTGAGTACCACCTTCCGCACCGTGTCATGCGACAGTTCGAGAAGAAACAAGATTGGCCGGTTGAGGACATCTCAACTGGAGTTGAATTACACAAGTAAATATTTCTTATCTTTATTTGCTTTCATTGTCAATGTTCAATTTTGTACCATTTAACCCTTGTCGATGCTCACTATTGTTTCATCACCTTCTACTTGTCTAGGTATGACAGGGTGAGAACAAAGAAGGTGAAAGACTGGGGGCTAGAGCATAATAGATACATTGATGAATGGAGGACAGCCGGAAGGAACGACAGGTACATCGAGACTATACACCAAAATCATCTTTTATCAGAGTACCTTCGTTGGCTGCATAGGACATATAGACTGTTCCTCCGCCCTACTTGGACGGAAGCCGACATAGAGGATGACCGCGACTCCGATGAGGGGCGGAATCCCTATGATGTCCGGACTAGAGTTGGATATCAAATGGAGCACGCCCCACTTAGAGACAGAGTCGTAAGTTTTCTTGCATTTGTCAAAGTTATTTCCATTTGCACCCTAGACCCTAACATATATCTTGTCACGCTTTCAGTCGAGAGAGCTCCTCAGGAGTGTGAATGAAATGGGGCATGCCCTCCAAGCTCCGAGGGGTGGTGAGGACACGGAGAACACACTCCGCAATGTTTTAGAGGTAAAATTTATTTAGCACTTTGCATTACTTGAGTTATGCCTAACAAACTTCTTTTTTTTTGAAATGCAAAAAGTTCGTCAAAGGTGCCGGAAACTTGCAGCAAGATTAGGTTGCAGGTCGGTTGGATTGGACGACGTGTACCAACCGGGGAGACTACCACCACCACTACCTCAATCCGCGCGTCCAAGTATCGCTCGACACTCCATCAGGATAGAAGAGCGTGAAGGAGTTGGTGGCTCGTCGTCGTCACGCATTAAGCAAGGGAGGGGAAAGGGGAAGGCGCCGGCTCCACCTAGCGACGACGATGACGACGAGGACGAGGAGGATGAGGACTACGTCACACCAGACGCCGAGGAGATAGACATGTCCAGCTTCCCGACGCGCCTCAGGGGACGCAACCCACGCAATACAACTTGCGATCCACTCGGGCAGCGAAAAAGAGGTAAAATGAGCTTACCATTCTCAAATGTTATTTGATTTCCCTTATTTTGTTTTTAAAATGTTTTAAACATTGGATTTTCAAATGTAGGTACACTCCGGGCTCGCAAGCAATTCGGCGCCAACGGAAGAAGTAATTTGTATGAAGTTAATCTATTGGTTGGTAGTATGACATATGTGGTGCACTATGTGATATAAAATGTGATGGACTATGTGAGGACTATGTGATGGACTTTTGACATTGTTTCATATGTGGAATATAGGATGGACTTTTGGCATTGTTTGATGTGTGGGATATGTGATGGACTTTTTGCATTGTTTGATGTGTGGAATATGTGATGGACTATGTGAGGACTATGTGATGGACTTTTGGCATTGTGATTTGTGCAATTGGAACCTGTTTTAGTCTGTACGAATATGTGAATTGTGATTTGAATTGCGAACTGTGAAATGGTACATTTGTGCAATATGGATCTTCAATTTGCAGGGAGGCAGAGGGCGGCGCCAACCACCCTGGCGCCGTGGTTGGGGAGGGCGGCGCCAGCCAGTGCCGCGAGGCAGAAGGGTTTCGGGCTGGGGGAGGGCGGCGCCAGCTACCCTGGCGCCGTGGTCCATGAGGGCGGCGCCAGCCGAGGCCCGGAGGCAGAAGGGCTTCGATGGGGGGAGGAGGGGAGCGCCAGCCACCCTGGCGCCGCGGTCGGGGGAGGCGCCAGCCGTTGCCCGGAGGCAGAACAGGGCGAAAATTTTTAGGGGGGGGAGAAAGTTGGTGGGGCCTGCAGAGGAGGGGCGCGCCAGCCATGCTGGCGCCGTGGTATGAGGGGCGGCGCCACTTTGGCTGGCGCCCCCTTCGGCCTAGTCAGCACCTCCACGACAGCCCTATTGCCACAGTGGCACGGGCACGGCGCCAGTGTGGCTGGCGCCGCCATGTTGGGGTACGGCGCCAGCCACTCTGGCGTCCCAAAAAGGACCATTTCCGGTTTAAGTTTTTCAGGGGTCTATTTGTAAAATAAGTTTTCAAAAAGGATCAAAATGTAAAAATTTCAGCATATAAATTAGTGATGTATTGCCCATGCCAACTCACATATTCCTTAATCATTTCTCATCATCACAAAAATAAATTACTAATTAAGTAAGATTATCATGCATATTGACTCGACGTTTAAGGAACATATATATGTATACATATTTATAGCTTTATAGCCTACCTAAATAATGAAACCTCGACTATATATTTGTTAAAAGTAAACTACAGTACTACGTATCAATCCAGTTAATGACAAACAATTAACAACAACAACCAAACTACGATAAAAAATCTCAGAAAACATTCTGATGATCTAACGCCTTGTCGCCGCCGACGACGACTCCGCCGCCCATTGCCGCCTCACCCTGTTGATGAACCCCTCGGCCTCCGCGTCAATGCTGCTGCGGCCTGCAGTACTAGTCGCCGCCGGTGCCGGTGCTCCGCCGCCCATCCTCGGCGTCTGCACCGAGTTCACCGCCGTCGGCGGCGGCGGCGGCGTCTTCGTCTTCTTCGCCGGCTCGATCCTATCCACCCTGAGGACGCTGATCTCCGCCGGCATATTAATTAATCTGTCTTGCTCACACACACAGAGAAAGGCTAGCTAATTACTCCGTACTTAGCAAGTAATTAATTAACTTGTATATATAGCTGATTGATCAATCGAGTACTGATCAGCTAGGTTGAGCTTGCTCTGAATGAATGATCATGAAGCAACTCGAGGCAGGTATTTATAGATGGAGATGAAATGATAGAAGAAACACTAATAATAACTTTGGAGTACCTTAGCCTCCAAGAACAGAGGAAGGCGAGATCATATCAGAAGCTTAGGAAAATGCAGTGTATTTTCCTGACGAAAACGACGTCTTCATGATAATTATGTGCATAACACTCGATCTGCAGGTCAATTAAAACATAAAGCTGTATGAACCATTTGAAGCTTTAGCAACAAAAAATGTATGGACCAGCTAGGAATAGCGTGTTCTCAAACAGTAGTCTGATAGAGCAAGACTTGACCTGACCGTGCATGCATGCATCATGCACACACACAAACACAACAAAAGTGCGGCCTCGAACTTCTTCTGCTTTAATTTCTGGATACAAGTATATATACGTAATCTCAATTCGATTTAATTACGTCATCAAATAATTGCAGCTGGTTGATTTCGTCTGTTTGAGTGCGTCAGCTGGACTCGATCAGGAGAGTTCCAGAATTCGAATCAGATTCTGTTATTGAATTGCAGGCCGTGGACACGCGCATCGAATTTAATTAAGAAACCTGACTCCATCTCGCCGCATACATCCATATATGAAGATTTTATTTAAAAAAAATAATAGTACTCTTTTAATAAAAATTGCAACAATAATGGTAAGAAATCGCAATTTTAATGCCATGTTGAACAATCAAAGTTTACAAGTCTCGTATCAAACAGCCGCAATTAATACAATTTGTGGCATGTTAAACCTCTCGAATTGGTTGTTCGACAGGTCCTGTGGTGGGCACGGTCAATTTTTTGGTACTTCCTCCATCCAAAAAAACAAATCTAGAATTAAATGTGACGTAATCTAGTTGTATTTGTTTGTTTTCAACCAACCAAGTAATGTTTTTGTGATCTATTATTAAAGTGATGATGTTTTAATTCATATATGTCGGCACTATCAATATATTTTTGTATAAATAGTGAAGGGGATGTCTAGTATACGAATGTTCACGAGCTAGGAATCTCATGATTGTCCCGACTGCCGTTTCATCTCTTATTCCTCATGGCTAATTACATGTCTAATTACGTGCTTAATCATGATTAGTACGGAGTAATGACTAACGAGCCGGTAGTTTGTTTCTTCGGTTAAAATACCAAGTACACGCATGCATGCTTTATGTTTTCTTGTTGCAAGGTTTTGTTTGGATTGGACTCTCTCTTTTTTAAAAAAAAATATCCGGTGATGATCAGCATTTTTTTTATTTCTATTAAAACTGATACACCAAACTTTCTAATTACAGAGATATAAATTCTATATAAAGTTTATATACGTAAAGTCTATATATAAAAAGTTTATATACATAAAGTCTACATATAGAAACTTTACATACATAAAATCTATATGTATATCTAGGAATTAAGTTTTCATGAAATAATTCATATAAAAATGTTTATGTTAAAGAAACAATGAAAAGAGTTAAAAAAAGAAATCTGAAAAAGAAAAAGGTAGTGAAAAAAAGAAAAAGATAAAGGACCACATAAAAAGAGGAAAACCGAAAATTGGAAAGGGAAGAACAATATCGCTCCCCCATGAGTTCCCCCTTCTCCTCCGTGGCACATCTTTCATCCTCTTCGTTCCGACCGATTCGCGAGATAGGTAGTGGGTGAATGTTCGCCCACTAACCTTCTCGCGTTTCTTGCTTCCACATAATAGAAAATAATATGTGACGTCACCGAGCTACCTCCGGAAGATGACATAAAAATGCCCATGTCTACTAGTTATATAGTTAGACCCAATTACGCTTAACATGCGGTGAGTCACGTCGTCAACAAAAAAAAAAGGACCGCTGGATCACTATCATTCTTAATCACGGTCGTTAGATTATTTCTATGCTTAAGCATAACTATAAATTTATTACGTATGCTAATTGTTCTATATTAGTTGTGGCTTAACATGCATATATTGAGTATTTTATCGCCTTTAGTTCAATGTTGTTTTTAGTTGTTTTGATTAGAAAGATTTATAAAATCCCATAGCAAAGCTGCGGGTATCCACTAGCTATGCTTTTATTTCCTGGCTTGGTTCCTCTGGTCATAAAAGATGGCATGTTGCATTGATTGGCATATATACTGCAATAATAATATAAACTACTGCCGTCAAGTTCCTAATGTGTACACATTGTTTTTTCTAGAATGCAAGAATAATTTCTTACTTTTATAACGTTGTCACAGGTATATATATACCATGCATGCAAATCTATCTTGCAAATTTCCCCAAAGGCTTTTATCATCAATACTTTGTCAAAATATGTTATTGCCAATAATATTATAGGAGAGAGCGCTTTGATCTATATATATACATAGTAAAAAAAATTAATCTGCCAATAAGTACACATGATTTTTTTTAGTTTTGAACACTACATTTTTGCTGGTCAAGTGCACTTTTATGCCACATGCCTCTTGTGTAATCCTGGCTATTAGCTAGTGATAAAAAGAGCGAATTAAATTTAAAAATATACTATTGATTTGGTTTTTTCGTGAAAATATTCGTGATATACACTTTTTAGCGAAAATATACCGGTGTCGCGCGGTAGGAGCGGGAGACCACGCGGTATCGCGTGATGAAGCAGCAAGACCGAACAGTCTCGCGTAAGGAATCAGCGAGACCGAATGTCATGTCCAACGGAGCTACTTAATTAGTCATTAATTATCCTAATTAATGATTAATTAATAATAATTAGTGATTAATTATTCTAATTATCGATTAATTAATCACTAATTAACCTTATTCAATCGGTAGAGGCAGTCGCTATCGCTCACTGACTGAGCCAGACTGCTCGGTCTCGCGGTTTGGCCGCGCGAGACCGCGTGGTCTGATGCCGCCACCACGTAGTACGTCCT